ATAGAGGAGACAGGAATGAAAGAGTGAGTGGTACAGCCTCTAGGGGAAGAAAAAACAAAAGAAAAAGACAAAAAAAAAGGTGGAGCCAACTGGAGTTTTTGCACACACACCAAAAAAAAAAAAAAATTGAAATACTTTATTTTAGCTTTGCTTAAATCAATTTTTCTTTTCAACAGATTTAAAAAAAATCAGTGCTCAACCCACAGCAGCCTACACCTGCAATCTCCAGTTACACCAGCTAAAATACAGGGTGTTAAGCAATCCCTGGCATTTGGCATGCAAAACAGGCCTTCCTTGCAGCTCCTTGGAGATGTTTTACTCATCACCATGAAGCTGCTGCTGCTGTGGACAGCAATTACAATTATTTTTTGAGAAAAATATACAGAGGCAGTGTATTGCTAGACCCTATGTGCCACCAGGGTGACAGCAAGCACCTCTCTTGTCTTTGGGGGCCAAATACCGTAGCATTGACGCTCAGCACCAATGCCTCAGATCCACACTTCAGAGAAGGGGAAGAGTCAGCTCATCCCTGGAAAGTCTGCTGGAGTAAGTAGAAGCCTTCGAGGCACCCGGGCCCAGTGTGGGATGACCACTTTGTTCCACTGCACTGAGAAGAGCAAGCTTTAGCTTGGATTTTGGACTGTTTTGGGATACAAGTATAAATAGGAACTGTACCCCGCACATACTTTGCACCTTTCAGTGACAGAATGTGCTCGAAATTGTTCTTTCCATTTGTCTGTCCCTGCTTCCAACATAATGATTCAACCTTGTGCACAACTCAGAGCTTTTACCTTGCAGGGTTTATTTTACATCCACATGCTTGCAGAGATGAGAAAGCCTTTTGGCCACAAGGCTGTAGTCAGGATTTAAAACAAAATCATATGGAAAACATATTGCGAAGAACATACTGGGGATTTCGAGCCTTCAAAACACATTATTAGAACAGCTGGCTTCTATTAAAGAAGAGTACAGAAGTTGGTAAAGACCGATGGTATCACAAATGGAGCTCCAGACTGAAGACAACCCTGTCCATGGTTTGATATTCAGCAGCCTCCCGACCCTACAAGCACTACATACCCTGAGGACAAGGCCACCCCCTGCCTTCCACCCTTGTCCTCAAGAAAGGAGAGCTCTAAAAGCCTTCTGGGCAGATCCCAAAGAGCAAGCCAAGGTGCTACTGTCACCCTCCACACGTGCCCTTGTCACCTGAGGGTGGGACAGCTTTGCCCACCCTGGACCCCCAGTGCTGTGGGACAGGCTTGGCCACAGCCAGAGCTCTCCCAGGGCCACGAGTCCCGTTCTCCTCCTGCCCCACAGGCAGAGATTTTGGGACCAGCATGGCTCTCTCCATCAGCCCCTGCCAGCACCAATGTTTTCTCTCTGGGCTGCTCTTGGCTTCCTCCTCTGCAGCTGCGCTCTCCACAACTGAAGGGGCTTTTCAGGGAAAAGTGAAATTAGTAAAAGCTAAGATAATTGAATGCATTTTGTTTTACCAGAGAGGCTGTTTGTGGTTTGCAAATAGACATGAGACGTTATAAAATATTTTATAACAGTACCCTATAGAGATGACTTGTCTGTAAAACATGAAATGCAACTGGCAGGAAACCACCACATTGACTCAATAAAACGTAACATAAACTGACAACAAAAAACAATCTTGTTAAGCAGCAGAAAACTTTATAACCTCAGTTATTTGAAAAATACAGAGGTAGCCCAGCTATTAAACTGGAAGGGTTCATTAGGATAATTTGCACTATTTGCTTCACTGTTATTAAACATGCTGCCATGAATCCATCGGGTTGGAATTTCTTTGACTCTGTTATTCTCCTGACTCTTCCTGCTCAAAAAATAGTAAGAGGACAATGGTCACTTTAAAAATCACACAATGTTTTGCAACACTCATTTAGAAATATTTCTAGGGCAGCCAATCAAGGCTTCAGAGCTTATGGAGCACGCATCTCCTCAATGCATAATAGTACATACATTCTTGGCATGCTCCGTGGATAAAATCGATCAAATCAGTGTAACTAAAGTTATTGCCTGGGTCTAACCTAGGCGTTGGAAACAGGTCAACATCTGTCCCATTAATTTTCTCTGTCCTTTAACTGGGATGTTGCAAGAACATCTGTGCACGGAAAAGCACGGCTCCTAGTATTGTGGAAGTAACACTTAGGAGGCTTAAGTAGAAGATGATATTTACTTGTTCACACCTATATTTTTGTACTGAGGTGTGCCTCGATAATGAGCCAGGACTCCAGCCCTGCTGGCACTACACAGATGTGGGACAAATGCAGAGCCTGGAAACCACCCCCTTGGCAGGCTGCACTGAGCACCTCCTTCAGGGGTATGAAAAAGAAAGGAAAAACAGCTGAACATGTTCTTCATCATTTCTTAACCATTGTGTCCCTCTGAGCAATAGCTCTGGAGAGGCAATCCTAAAGCACCTCTCAACACAAACTCCAAGAAGTTCATTCCCACCTGAGTCCTGGCTTAACCCTTATGTGCCACAGGTCCAGAGGAGCTATGTGGCCTCTGCAGTTCTGCACATCTCAAGCAGAAGGTGGGCAGAGCATCCATTCCCCCAAGAGACTAACTTCCCACTGCCTTTCTAAAGACAAGTACAGCACACACCTGGGTGTCGTGGGTGCTTTCAGCCACCTCTTTGCCAGGTGGACACAACACCTGAAAGGCACCTCCTGTGCTGCAACATGCACAGCTGCTGCAAACAATTTTCCCAGCACCCAGCTAACCATAGAAAGAGAGTTAGGTGTGTTTCTTTGATGGTGGTATGAGTTTAAGAGTGTCTAGTACTGTGGATCATGGCAAGTATCTGAGGTTTCTGAGTGGTAAAATAATATAGGCAAATTAATTAATAGAACAAAGTAACTACACAGAGTAAACGTATAGGAGCAACTGATTCAGCCACCCCCTTAAATTCTGAAATGGTGTGTCACTGTTCTGCACAGACTTGGAATGCCAGCATGAGAAGATTTAATGTGTTTTTCCCTTAGTTTAAACTGAAGAAAAATTGGCTGCACTTTCCCGAAGTTAACAGCAAACAGGTCATATTTATCGTCTTGCCACTTAAGCTCGAAAACTAGCAATTTAGCCATTCCTAAATGGCTTGGCCCTCCTGAAACCGCAGATTGCGGGTTATATGCAAGCTTATCTCCTGGAAGTAATTGATACTAGAACAACATGGCACTGCAGCCCTGGCATTCTGGAAAGCTGGTGAGATCCTCACCCCAAATTCAGCTTAAATGCTGTTGGTAGTTTCATCTGTGCCTGTGTTATTACTGTGATTTATGGACATAGGTCTCAGATAAGTTACCCACCAAGGCAAAAATAATCAACAGATTCTCTGCTAGCCTTCTGAGTTGTTTTTTCCCTTCCCTGGACCAAAATTTCTTTAGAAAAATATGATTATTTTCTCTCCACAGCTATAAATTCCTCAGCCAGCTCCTCTGTTACCATGCAGTCTGCTGGGCACATTCCAGAATTATTTCTGAAGTTTCCTCAGACTTCCATATAAGTCCAAAAATTCCCTAGTCCTGCTCCATGGCAGTGTGACAGCCGGCCCCTACTTCTTGGTAAAGAGCTTAGAAACACCCAGCTCCACTGATGCCGAGCAGTCTGTTACGCTGATCGGTAAATTAAGGACACGCAACCCGCACAGGGCTTTGGGCAAGTGCTGCCACAATCATCACACCATCTCTCCAGTAGCCGCAGCGCTTTGTAGCAGACCAGCCTTCCCCAGGAATAATGGGAACAGGAAATATCAAGCCATCCCCACAAGGTCTAGAGTTAATCATCTCCAGAGAAAGCGGTGTTGTGGGGCAGCTGCAAAAAAAAAGACCTTATCTGTGCAAAAAATACATGAAGGGTATCAAACCAAATAACACTCCTCTGCTGGAGGCAAAGAAGTTGAGCCCCAGGCTCCAAGTCAGGCATGACTTGAGGTGCCTTGAGAGAACAGATGCGGTGTCCTCCACGTGGTGCTCCTGCTGGTACCTGGTGTCACGGACGTGGGGTGCGAGCGGGAGGTGCAAGGCCAGTGTCTGCTCACGGCCGCTGTGTCTGCGCTCCCTGCGCAACGAGAGGAGGGGAATTAGCCAACAATAACAGTGTTTGTTTTGTTGCCATCTCAGTAGACATCCTAATAATGCTAATAGGAAAAAGAAACCTCACCAGAGAAGGGAAAGGTCAGAAGGCTAATAAAATAAATGCAGCTATTGTGCGCTCACTTGGCAATTCGGATGGGAGTGTGATTTTATTTCCTTTTCAGTTTGGATTCATCAGTTGACTTTCTTGTTACTATAAAAAAAAAAAAAAAAGGAATTTCAGCTCTTCACACAATGCTTGTTAGTGAAAACCATGTCTTTGCAGAGATTTAGTTTTACACTTGCTGGCTTTCCATTTTGATTCATTTCTTTGATTTTTGCATTTTTTTCCTGTTTATCAAAGGAAAGATGTGTAGTCCCTGAGAAAATGTTGGCCAAAAAGACAATTTAACAACAAGTATTGTCCTCAAAGGACATAGTTGGCCAGGGCTATCCTGATTTGATGATTACCAAGTCAACAGAAGATGGGGGAGAAAGTAGCCTGAAAGGCTATAAAATGGATGGCATGGCCACATGTAAGAGGGCAGATTTACTCCCAGGGACCGGTGCGAAAAATCACCTGCTGCAAGGACGCCCTCTAAGGTCTGCAGAAGGTCTCTCAGGAGGGAGCCCACCTTGCACAAGAACAGGATGCTTCTCCTCCACAGACTTATATTCAGTCATCAGCTGGAACAGCAGCACCTCTGACTTCCCTATAGGCCCAAAGAAAAGGCTTGGCTTAAGACCTGTACAGCACACGACAAGAGCCCAGTCCTGCCTCCTTGCAGAGCAGGCTCCATGCTCTGCAGTGAAAGGAGGGCCGTGTTTTCATGGGATACGCCTCCTCTCTGAGCAGCAATGCACTTAACTCACCAAAGAGAAGAAAAAACATGCCACCCGTCCCTCTGCTGCTGTGGGTTTTTTTTTTCCTAGGTGTTATGTCTGTAGTTTCAAACGGTCAGCTTTCCACATCAGGCTTCTCATTGCAGACTTTTCTGAAGTTATGCCATGATCACAAAGAACCACTTCCATTCTCTCCCTATTCTTAACCTCCTTTCTCCAGAAAACAGCCTGAGATTCTTTGGAGAGCTGATGGGATGCTGTGGTAGGTAAACAGGGGAGTATGAAGCAACACTAGTGGATGCTTTCACCCTCTGCACAGAGTACCAGGGAAGGCAGGACAAGGAGAGCCCAAAGTACTGGGCTGATGACCACAAAGACATATCTGAAAACTGGAGTGGGTTCATAGATCAGCATCAAGAAAAATCTCATCCTTGGTTGGTGTTCATGTCCATGCAATGTGTAAGAGACCATACAGGACATGCCTTTGGCAGCTCAGTTAAATAAACTAAAGCATGGGAACATGAAACTGGCATGTGGAACACCTGAATTATTTTTTTTCCCAGAAAAAATCACTGCTCACCAAATATACACCATCTTCTTGGCAACCTGAATCCCCTGCCCACATTATACCACAGCTCTTTCGTTTTCCCATGAGAGTTTCATGTCCAAATGTCTTATCCAACTGGAAAAAAATATATATTACATCAGTGTGATTTAAATGAGGATTAGTTTTTGCTGTTTTGAGAACAGAGCTTGTGTCTACTCTTTGAGGAGGTCGTGTATCATATGGGATTAGCTGATCTTGCAAAATCTAGTTGTTCCATCCACCTCGGCACAGAGGCTCCGACGAGCCACAGGCATCCTACTGCTCTGTGGGATTACACAAATTAATAAGAGGGAGGCAAGGACTGGATCAAAGCCCTCAGCTTCAGAAGGGAGAGAGAAAAATTCTCATCAGGGAAAAAAGACAAAAAGTGTAAAGCCAATGAAGTGGGAATTAAGAAAGGAAATGAAAATATATGAAATTTACTGGTTTTAAACACAAAGAGACATGGTGATCATCCATTTCATATTAATTCCTGCATAAACCTGGCCATGGCATGATTGATTACATCCAAACACACGGTTAGTTTTTCTACAGCTGTAATTACAGATATCTTCAGAATAAGAGTATTTACTTGCATGCAGTATAGCAGTATTTTGCCAGCATCACCCATTCACCTCTTGGAAATATATCCATACACAACTTTCTAGGCACTGGCTCTGAATTTTAGTCCATATGTGCAAAAATATCTCAGACGTAGCCAATATACTAGCTAGGCAATCTCAAAAGAGTAAGATGCACAACATCTCATTAACAGAGAACACAGTGCTATTCAAACTTCTTCTGCAGCAACATCCCTCGGAGCAAGAACTGTCTCAGATTTTTCTGTGAGCTCTCATTACTACAGTGATATTTATGGCTGCGCCTTAGGGAACGCAAGCAGACAGACTTGTCTGTCCTACGCAAAGCCAATGGTCTCTGGGCCCTACTTATACAGAGTCTTATTTTGATATAAATTTCATCTTAGGCCAACGGTTCTGGCAGCGACCTTCTAGACACCACCATAGCCCCAGCAGTAATTGTTTAGGCTTTTTTTTTTTTTTTTCCAGAAACTTTCTTAACGATAATCTGTTAAATTCTAGTACAAGAAGAGCACATAGCCCATCTGCTCATAGCTGTTCTAATCCAGCATTACCCATCAGACATTCACGGACTGGAGTCATGTTGGTTGGGGCCCCCAAGGTCTCTTTCAAATCCCAATGCAAAAATACAAAACATTTCTCAAGATGTTTATGCTTTCTCCACTATATATAGATCAGACATATTTTTCAAAAGTACTCATTCAGAATTTAGATCCCTACAAACTGACATCCCAAATTCACTTGTTTCCTGAATGTTTCATCAAAAACTCCTCTTGCTTCAGGAAATTTTCTTGGCCAGCTTATTTTTGAACTGTAAGCAGGCAAAACTAGAAATGTGTTGCTCGGATTAGTTCGAAACCAAAGTTTATTGATTGTTCATTATAAACGGGATCCACACAAAGCTTGAAACTCAAAACCAAGTTCAGAGAACAAAGGTGACGTGACAAATTTGAAGAAAAATATCACATGGCTCTCAGCAAAACAAAAAATTTTGCAAAGAAAAGACGACATATGAAGCAATGGTTTCATATAGCAGAATATACATTTTAGGGCAATCTTCTCATTGTTTCCTACATCACACTGTTTTTTCACCTGTACCATGTGATTATTTGCCAGCTGTATCAGGCACCACTTCCGTTCTGTACCAGGTTGGGATACTTCCAGTGACAGACCTTGTCCTGCTGACAAGAACACTTTTACAGTCAACTTTGTCTCTATTTTTGGCCACCTTGAATGATGGATGAAGCATGGTATTGTGAAATTGCAGAGTGGCTGAGGTTGCAAGGGCCTCTGGAGGTCATCTGGTGCTCAAGCAGGGACACCTGGAGCAGGCTGCCCAGAACCATGTCCAGATGGCTTCTGAAGATCTCCAAGGATTATACAACCTTTCTAGGCAACCCTAAGGTTGACAGCACTCGCTTTTTCCATGTATTTGAGTTGACAGCACACCATGAACAATAATAATGAGTTCCTGGGGAAAAAGATGAAAAAAAATTTTTGTTCAAAACTTTTTGAACTTGCACAGCATCATCCACACAGTTCTAGAGAGTGCAAGAAGTACCCAGGGATTACCACTGTCTGTTCCCTTCTCTGTTCTGCCACATGGGCAAGAAATCGACATAAAAAGGATGATTTTGTTCTTATAGAAATAAATACTATCTTCTGCTGCAAGTGCTTCTCCCTATGTAGAAATTATCTTAATAGCCATTGGCTTAGTAGAATCATCCAGCTGCTTTGCTCCACCTGATTGATGGTGATGAATCACCCCATGCGATGAACTCAACCCTTCAACCCTGAAAGCTGCCATGGAAGGGCAGCTCTGCTGTATCTGCAAGGCTTCACCAAAATGGTTGCAGCCATCCTGCACCCTTCCTATGGGAAGGCATTGGTGTGACTTTATTTGCTGTGTCTTTTTTGGAGATTAATGCCAGTAGTAAGGCCGAGGCATTCTGGATAATTCTTGACTGTAAGCTGAAAAGTTGACTGATACAATATCAATGGGATGGTTGGTGGTGGAGGTGGATGGGTTGTTTTGGGTGGATGATGGCGATACTAACTTCTGTGGGCAGCTTTGAATCTACCGCCAAAAATTATTACTAATAGATGACCAAACAGTTGTCTTTCTACAAGCACTTATTTTCTTTTGTAGTTTCCCAGTAATATCCTTTTTATCTGATTTCTTGGATTGTTGTTGTTGTTTATTTCCAGTAAGTTTCTACAAGTTTTTCATCGCTGTCAAGAATAACATACTAATTAGTACAAAAGGCCAAAAAAAAAGATCTCGCCTCTCTCTGCCTCTTCCACTGCATTTGTTTTCCTGGTCCAGGTGAAGGACAAACCTCAGTCATTTCTCCAAGAGAAGATGAGTTTATGTTGCTTTAAAGAAAAAAAAGCGAACAAACAAACAAAAACTTATTTCAATTTTTGGCCTATAGTCCTTGTTTTTCCCCGCAAAAATTAACACCGAATACGGATACTGTGACCTTCCAATAGTTCTTTCTTTTTTGATCTGAAGTGTTACAGGGAATTTCTTCTTCTTTTTCTCTTATTTTTCACATTGCTGATTCCTACTCAGTGCTATGTATAACTTTGCGCTCAAGTTAGCATAAACCTAATGTCACTGCCAACTGCCACCAATATAGGTCATTCTGACATGAGATGAATTAATTCATTGTAAATTATTTGGGAGAGAGGAAAGAAAAAAAATCCACTCTGAAGCCTAAATATCTGTAGATGAAGTCTAAATTTGATCATGATGAAAATCAGTAAACCAGAGTTCTTGTTTAGCTGCTGCTAAACATTCTCTGACTGAATCAACAAACGAACTTGATTCCTGCTCCTCTTTCAAGCCAATAGAAAATAGTTTCATGGAGCTGGAAAAAGCTCTGGGCAAGACTTGGGGAAGCAAATAACTTATTTACTGAATACTGGGTGTTGACTGATTCAAAACGTCTTGCCAATTCATCCAGTGTCACCAAGCGATTGGAGCTAGAAAGGAGACACGAAGTTACAATAGTGGAATGAAACCATGGTGTGTGTGGGCAGGTGGCTCCCCTCAAGCAGTCAGGATACTGCCTGCCATGTTTTTTGGAAATCCAGAGCCTCCTTTTTCAGTGAGTAGCTCAGGCATGGGCTGGAGAGGGTCACATCTGTGTTACTGCCTCTGTTAATGCACATTGCAATAATTTTGTCCATGGAAACTAAGAATTCATCACCTTCAAAATGTTCTTGGAATGGCCAGGCAGGAGTCTCTGGTGGGAGATGGACGTTCAGGCCCACTTCAGCAGAGGAAGAATTCAGTGCTTCTCTCCTGCATTTTTTGAGGACCATCCTAACTGCCTACCCAGAGAACAGAGACAAAGCTGGAGCACCCACCTCCTCCCTTCTTGCATGAATGGTGCTGTCATCTCACCCTTCTTCATTCATCCCGGAATAACTCATGGGGAGAAGGCACAAAGTCTCATTTCACTGAGGAAGGAGGAAAACAAAACACTTTTTTTTTTTTTTCTGAAATCAGTTTAGTGGCTAACAGAAAATTATTTATAACCAGAGCACCAGCTGAAAATGCCTCAAGTCAAGGGTGGAGATCTTGCTTGTCCTGCCCTGTAATATACCCACTGGCCTTTGTTTTTTGTGATATTGACAGTGCAGGCCCAGCAATACACAACACACATGGGTAATTCTCAGAGCAGTTCCAACCCAAGCAACAGCTTCCTAAGGCCAAGGCTTGAGCGATGAAGCCATACAAGAACTGTACACACACACTGCCATTTGGATTAATCTGGCAGCACTTACATGTAAACAAGGCCCAGCGGTGGACACCTTCTGTCCTTCCAACACATCAGCTCACGCTCTGCCGCAAGGGGTGAGATCCACTCCAGCGCTCAGTCACAGCAGGGAACCAAAGCATGGAAAGCACATGAGCAGGGATTACACAGCCTCCTGAGGCTGGCAGCCAAATGTTGGGTTCCCTGACTGAGCGTAATCAGCTGATATTTCTGCCATTTTTCCCCCAAACACCCAGAAGAGGTTAACAGAACAGCACACACAGAGATAAGCTCATGATCACATTTGCATATTTAGGCACAAACACATGTCAGCCCCTTCAAATCTGTAATCCCCGAGGATCCATAATTGGACGGGATGGCTGGGATTTTTGGATGTCGGGTCCAGATCAGAGCCTGGAAGAAGTTCCAGGCGAGCAGCAGCCAGACGAGCACTTCTCTGCATTGTTGCCTCCACGCTGGGACCTGCGCTGGGATCCAGCCCACGGCATCTCCCTGCAGCTGGCTCCAAGGACTCGGGGTCAGATTCCCAGCTGGCCAAGGAGAGCTTTGCTCTCAAAACCTACAGTGAGCCCCGCGTGGTTTGGAATAACACATACACCGGGGAGATCACTGTACTGTTGTGACACGCCAGCTGCTGATGCAAAGGGCTCAGGCAAAGGAAAGCGGGCTATGATGGGATGCTCCCACATCCCAACACGAGCTAGCTCCTGGGATACCTCACCACGGCCACGGAAGCACACTTCTTTCTAACAAGGCTGACATCAGAGCTCACTGGATCAAAATCCAGCTCACTGGGACAAGTCAGCCCCAGGACGAGTAGATGCAGATGTTACTTTCATGGACCAGATTCGGGACCAAAGCCTCATCACCAGCCCACGCCTCTATCTGTCCCACAGTGCCTATGCCAGACAACCATATTTGGAACAAAAACATTTAATTCCAATTAATAATCTGTACTTTGTCCCATGAAAAGCATGGCTTCGCCAGCCACACACACTGTACATCCACAGTCTCACAACAGCTGGAGAGAACGCAGTTGGACCAGCAGCGAGTACCAGCAGATGGACAACAACAATCACTGAACTGCTGCAACTTACACTGAAGATAAAATCCAGGAAGAACTCCAATTCCCAGCTAGCTAATACAGAAAAGCAGCACTTCTGGCTTTGAACTGCTTTTAACTGACCTGGATCCCATGAAGACAAGGGAAAAATTCCTGCTGGAGCTTTTTACACTCAGACAGGCTAATTCCAGTTTACGGTTCCTATCTCATTTAGTTATGCAAACAGACACCAAGCCCACACTTAGCTCTCCAGAATAATACTCCTCCATCCCCCCAAACAATCCAGGTGAGAGTTTCAGTTTTGTGATCCCTATTCTTTCATCAGAACAGTAAATAGGCATGAACTGATGAGCATTTCTTCCTTGAAAACAACGACATGACTTACTGCAGTCAAATCCAAGGTCTTTTGGAATAGTCTGAAATCCTGAAGTAGAGGCAGGGGAACCCAGATGGAAGAAGACTATGCTGTGTCTGATGTACCTCAAGTTCCTCTCAGCAGCTTGGGAAATGAACTAAAACACTCACAGGACCCAAGTAGCACGCACTGCTTAACCATAGGGGCAGGCTGGCCATCTGTGTGCCTCTCTTATGGGAGGATGAAGCCCAGTGATGCACCCTTTGAAAGGCTGCATTTCCCCTCCTCCCTACAGCTCTCACTCGACAGAATTCTGCATGAGGGCTGAGCGTGGCTGGAAATACCCCAGTGAAGCATTTAGTCAAACACAGATGCACATAGATACAGTGGGAGAGGGAGAGCTTTCCTAGTCGCCACCTTGGTGAGCCCCAGACACTTTGTTCTGCTTGGATGACCCTTGGAGAAGGCTGAGGCTCGAAGCCCACCCCAGCTGCTGCGACAGGCAGGAACGGCAGCCTTCCTCTGCAGCTGCGGGGCCTGGGGAGCTCCTGGGTTCCTGGAAACACTGACAACTTTCTGGTTCTGGCCAGTACTGACCACAGCCAAATCTCAAAATTCCTGCAGACTGGAAGCCCTTACTTTTCCCTGCCTCAAGTCAGAATTTCTAGAGGCGTAGCAGAGGTTGCAGTGTTACCCGTTCCCGCCAAGGCCAAGTGCTGGGATGGGACAAATTAGCCTTTCTCAGAACTGCGGGATTACCTTCAGAACCACGACAATGAAATTAACAGCTGGTTCTTCTCCGTACCTTCTGGTTTCCAGACCTCCAAGACATGTCTGCGTTCCACAGTCCCAATGACAAGCTCTGTGGTCATAATGTGAAAACTTTTAACTTTCTCTAAAAACAAACAAACCAATCAAACATACAAACAGAAAACTGGAATTCCTGTGCAATACTGTCTTCCACGACTGCCAGTGTTGCAAACTCACTGATGAAAGTAACTGGCCAGGCTGGATGGGGCTTTGAGCAACCTGGTCAAGCAGGAGGTGTCCCTGCCCATGGCAGTGGGGTTGAAATTAAGCGGTCTTTAAGGTCCCTTCCAACCCAAACCATTCTGTGCTTCTAGGATCCTATGAATCCTATGATTTCTGTTAAATCCTGTGAATTCTGTGGACTCAGTTACCATGCTACTTGCTTCTAGTTCAGACTCTTTATAGCTACAGCCTGTTTCCAGTAGCCTTAAGGGACAAGCCTTTAACACACACGTGCTATGGAGCAGCAGGTGGGAACGAGCACAGCTACGAGGCACAGAAGCACCACAGAGCTCACCCTAAAGGAGGCAGTGCTCAACAAGGGCTCAGCTGAGGTCAGGAGAAGCCAGGAAGGTAGAGGCTTGGCTCCTCCCCACAAATTAATTAATTAATTAACATTAAAAAAAAAAAAAAAAAAAAAAAAGGAACTGTAGTTCAACAGAAACAGACCCGGGCTTTTCAAAGTGTCCACTTTTCCTAATCCACTCAGAGGAAGTCAGTTCCTGGCAGCCTCCAACCTGTCTGCAATTGCCTAGTGCAATAACCAGTAATTTTTGCTGTTTTCCCTGGTGTTTTAGAGAAATTAAAGCCTTCAGATCCAACCTGAGGAAGCTGTCATTTCTTCTGGAAGTTTATGTGCAAGAGGAGTCCACCACTAAGTCATTTCACTGTAATTTCACATAGCCCCTGTGACAAGGCTCCCAAGTGCTGTGCTGCAGGGAGCTCTGCCTGGCAGGGACTTGCTACCAATCCAGAGGGATGCTTGAAAATGCTGCAGCAGGACAGGTCTGTCCGAGCCCTGCTCCAATGCTACTGCAAGGCTACGTGGGGACACCAGCAGCTCTGGCAGGTCCCAAGACACCTAGGCAGCAGGTGTGCTCACTTGCCCCTGTGCTAATTTGTTCATCCATCTCTTCAGGTAAGATGATCCAGTGAAAATCTGGAGTTTCTTCAGGCCAGCAATTGCCCTACAAGGTAGCACAACTCTAACCTCAGTGCCTCAGGTAGTCTGTGGGGTACCCTTTGCAGCCTCGTCTTAATTATAGCAATGTAAAAGACTTTGTCACCTGCTGCTAAATGTCTGGGTTTTAGACTATTCGGGATGCTGTGGACAATTCATGTCCCTACACAGACATAGCTAGAGCCTGATGAGGCTGCCAGAACATCTTTATTTTAACTAGGAGTACCTTCCTCTAGCCTCTGGATGCCTTACTTACAGCAAGACACATATCTGTCTATATTTATCAAAATAAGTTGTCTTCTCTACAGCATTGTCTCCTCCCACATACTGCTGACAGGTAGCTTCAGTGACAGAGGTTACCCCAATTATTTAGAAAGTGGAAGCAGCAGCCCAAATAGTTACCTTCCTGCGCAGCCTGAGCACAAGAACTGCTTCTTCACCTGCCTCTTGGAAATTCAGCTCAGAAATCCTACTGACAATAGAGCAGATGCATACCCCCCTCTAGTGGGAAAAGCACAGCTCTGGTTCTCCGGGACAGGAGTGGCTCCAGCCCTGCACACCTACCATGGATGCCCAAAGCAGCTTGGTTTTTCAAATCAAAGGGGCAATAGAAGCTGTGATGAAATCTAAAGGCATTACTTTTCAACATTAAGCAGAAAGCATTTCAAGGAAATGGCAGCCTAAGCCTATAAACTTACCAGTATTTTGTCTGCTGAGCATTAGGCATGAATACAACCAGAAGTCTTCTGCTTTGTGCTAGCGTAATGATTAACTTCTGAGAGGTCACGGCAGTAGGAATGTAAAATGTTAGCAGGAAGGCATGGCCGCGTTTTAACCCTGTTTTGCTATAATAGAGAAAAAAATCTTGAATGCAAAACAAAAAGACAACTGAGTCTTCTGTACGTAGTTTTTACTATGTCTATTGTAGGAGCCTACCAGCTCGCAGGCTGAGTCACAGGTGGCGTTTTCAGGAGTGGATTGGCATTTACCTTTCTTTGTTTGAAAAAATACTTGCTCTAGATGAAGGTGAAATAAACGTGAGGTGGAAAGTAGAATCTGGGGGAGAAAAAAATAAAACACCTTTTATCTATTTTCACGCTGTACTGCTCAGCAATGACATGTGCAGATCCCTCTTGTCCCAAGGGCAGGATGAAGGCACCGCCCGCCGGGATCTCCAGGACTGCCAACAGCATCAGCGCGCACTGCCCGCCTCGGGGAGAAGCAGCAAAGGGACTGCAAGAGCCTGGTTCGGCTGGCCTTAACCTGCCCTAGCCTTTTCTAGTTCAGGGATAAGCACGTGCTTTGCAACCAGCATTAGGTGCCTTCTTACAAGAAAAAAAAAATAAAAGAAAAATATATATATTAAGTTTTTATATATTTTTTCTTCTAAGAAAAATATAAAGTGTTCACTTGCATGTCCCAGCAGTGTACTGCCCTTTGAGATCCCATTGCACCCATTGCTGAAAAGTTCAGTCACTGAAATCCATTCCTAGTCTGCAAACCAAGCTTCCAGAGCAGCAGCTTTGCCACCTATAAGCACTTTCTTTCACATCACCCTGACGCACTTTGTCCTTCTACTCATAGTACATAAGCATTTCCAAGAGGGTTTGGGTTAGGTGCTGCAATATTTTTCCTGCTTTACGTTTCCAAGTTCTTCTTTTAACATACTGTGACCTAAACACAATTTCACCGTGTATACATACACAGCACCTTCATAAGGAGCACAGGTAAACAAGGACCAACAACAGCGAGGCTCAGAGGGACTGTGGGCATACAGTTTTGCAATTCCTCTGTCTGGCCCAGGTAAAGACTCCTAATTTCAGTGCTAACTGAACTACAGATAAAGTCTGTAAATAATGTATGTCATGCTCACCGGTGAGAGAGATCCTGCAGAGTTCATGCGAGAGCTAACTTTACACACAGACACTGTTTTCATGGTTAGGGCCAGAAAGCTCCAGGTAGAACAAACTGCAGATAGGTTACATTTTGGGTAACGTGTCTTGGACTTGTCCGCTCAGACATGGCATTTGAGGTCAGCTGTAATCGTTTACCTGCTTCTTAGCCCATGTGGGGAGAGACAGACCTGCCTACCTCCGAAGCAATTTCTGCAATGCAAACTGCTGGGTCTGAACACCGACAGATCAGTACGAGGTTTCTGCACTTCTACTGCCCTGACAGTCACCAGCCTTGCTGGCAGACTCAGAAATTACAAGCATGTACTTTAGGTCTAGTGGCATAAACACCAAGATTTCTTCCAGATTTCACAGAAGCTTGGAGTTAAGATAGCTTAACCAAGCCCTTTCCTCTTTCAAAAGACACACACACCCCAAATGAACAAAAAAAAGTACTTCTTAACTGTCTAGTGAAATATGCATTGAATCCTTTTCATTGCTTCAGTGTTTTTAACATTTGCCTCAACGTTTTGTAAACTTTCATCTTCCATTTGGACTTTCTACTTTCAGACTTGAAGGCATCAGGACAAGCTCACCAGCTGACTGAAAGCTAGCAAAGCTTCTTCACTTGTTGCACAGCAGAAACCAAGCCTTGCGCTGGGCTTCAAAGCTTGAGCAAGAGCTGGGCCTGCTTGAGATCTCCATGGTTTGCCTCCTCATGGTCTGAAGTTAATGTAGACTTCCTCCTCGGCTTAAACATTCCCTCCCAGACCGCATCCATCTCTGTTTTTTAAGAGCAAGCAGTACTGAGATGATGCCCAAGACACGCGCTACGGCACTCAACAAAGCCTTGCCTCAGCATTCACTTGTCTTTAAAGAGGATCTCTTTGCTACGTGGTGTTTCAGCACATCGTGTAGTCTCATATAAGGAAAGAATAAAATAATCTGCTGTTTCTGCCATCTTCAGGCAGACTCCATGGCAAACACAATATGCCTCCTATATACTTTGAAGGTACTTCTGGGAAGTGAGAAAGAAAGGATTCTCTTCTTATCTAAGTCCCTGTTCCTCCTCTAGAAATCTAAATGCCTCTGCTTCTCTCTCTACCCCACTCAATCCACCTTATCAATAAGCTTGACCCGACAAATTCTGTGAAGCTGGGCCTCAATAAACTGAACCCAACAACTGAAATCAAAGTATTAGCCTTTACTAATCCAGATGCCAACCCAACAGCAGAATAAAAAAAAATACAACCACAAATAGAACAGCATGAGCATAAATTTTATGTACCAATGCATTCAGCAATGAACTTGCCTAATTAAGCTTTTTATCTGTAGCTAGCTACTGATTTACGCCTACACAGGACTTAAAAGGTACTGTAAATACCATTCCTTTCTCCCCCTAATAATTGTCAGCAATATTAGTCAATTCCATAACTAATTAAGTCCTTAAAAAGGATTTGCTTCAGTGGTCTTACATCAGGAATACTATGGGCTACATGATGCATTTTGTCAAGATTTTAAGCATTCTGAAATGCTTAGACAGAAACAAAGAAGCTGCACCATTCAAGTAGCAAGACAGATCTCAAAATAAACTTCTCAGCCCAGTAAATAATTACAGCAAAGATTTTGCTTTGCTTAATTAGAAGTGTCCCCTGAGAAGTACAATTCCTTCTGCCAGAAAGGCCTACTGGAGGAAAAACGCATTTGATGCTAGTCTTTACTCCTGAAGACCAAGGTTTCATAGGAAAAGCTGAGCGTACCTCATGATAGACTTCCACACCAGCTATCCAGACTTTCGGATTTGGGACAGCAAGAGCATG